ATTCCCCCCCCCTTCCCCCTTTTTTTTTAAAAAGTTTTTTTCCCCCCAAAATTTAAAAACCCGAATTTTTTTTACCCCCCCTTCCCTTTTGGGGGGGGGGGGGGTCCCGGGGTTTGGGGGGGTTCTCATATTTTCCCACAGGCAAAAAACCCCCCCCCCCCCCCCCCCCCCCCCCCAAACATACCGGTGTTTGCCATCGGGGTTGGGTTTTCGTCGCTTGGCAACGACGTTGTAAAACACGCCGCCCCCCCCGGTGTTTGCCATCGGGGTTGGGTTTTCGTCGCTTGGCAACGACGTTGTAAAACAAGCCCCCCCCCTCGGTGTTTGCCATCGGGATTGGGTTTTCGTCACTTCGCAACGACGTTGTAAAAGAAGCCAATTCACTTCGTGAACTCGGCAACCAGGTTACCGGTTTTTTTTTTCGGCGGTAACCATGATGGTGGTCGAGTAGATCATTTTGTGCGGTGTGGAGAAACCTCACTCCGCGCAAGGGGGATGATCGCACCACGTTGTGTTAAATGGTCAAGCATCCTCGAGGCAGCTACACAGTGCTTATAACTGTCTCTGGAAGTGAACGCACCAGAAAATAAAGTAAGTCATACGCAGCTGTCATCCGTACGCAAGGAAGCAAGGACAAGATGCCGAACACCCTTAGCAGGATGCAGCTCACCCTTCATGCGACTCGCCGAATACCTCACGGTGCTTCGCGCTTGGTGATGTGAGAGCCTGGTCCGGTGAGAACCCGGCGTGCTCCGTCCCGGCTTTGTAGGGATGCGAGGTCAATGGTCTAACGACTACGGCATGCACGACTTTGGGTACACCCCCCTCCGGCGTCGCCCGCGCCAATTCCCGGAAGGTTCCCGAGAACGATCGCCTGATTCGCAAGCCGGAGGCGTTGCTGACCCTCCTCCTGGACGCTTGTTACGCTTGGACCGAAACGGCTCCAGACGCGAGAGGTGATTTAGAGCGTCGAAACGGTCACTATTTGTAGTCGCCTTTTGGATCTCTCGGTGACCCGCCGCGCACAGCGGTTTTCGTACCGGTGGAGACGGCATGTTTCCGACTTCTTGTGGTCATGAAACCATACATTTTTTTTGTCTCACCTGGTTGCTGAAGTCTGAAGTCTTTTCTTCTGCTTGAGGGGGCCGTTCGTATGGTTACCTCTATTCGGCTGAACGCGGCCGGTGGCGAAAATAGAGAAGGAGGTCGGGTATTCCTGCGTTTTTCGGAGATGTATCGTTTTTCGGAGATGTACCGTTTTTCGAAGATGTACCGTTTTTCGGAGATTTACCGTTTTTCGAAGACTTACCGTTTTTCTCGGATCCCGGTGATGGTTCTTGGAAGATCGACAATGTAGAGGAAAACCGTGTTCTTGGCGAAGGTCAACGATTCATGCGAATCTTTCCGTTCTTTCCTGTCTAGCAAGTTCACAGGCTTTTCGAACTGAATCATCTCGTATGAGGGTGTTCGTGCTTTTCGAAGATCATCATGTGCTCTCTATTTTTGCACGTTCGACGTTTTTTCGAAATGAATCAAATCGTATGAGGGTGTTCCTGCTGTCTCGGGGGATCGATCATTTTCGGATCCTCTAATATTTTAATCTAATGTGCTGCTTTCCGATTTGTCGGTTTCGGTGCTGTAACTTGTTTTTTTTCATTCATTTTTTTCTTTCGCAGCAATGGAAGCTGCGTGGGATCTGCTGGAGTGCGTCCCTACCCGTCAGGCTAACGTGGACGCGTCCTTGCAGGACAGGGTGGATGCTCTGGAGGGACACCTGTACGCCACGCAGGTCTTGCAAACGTGAGAGGGGCGGGGGAGAGCAAGGGCGAAAGAAAGAGGGAGGGAGAGGGAGGGAGGGAGAGAGAGAGAGAGAGAGAGAGAGAGAGAGAGAGAGAGAGAGAGAGAGAGAGACAGAGACAGAGAGACAGAGAGAGAGAGACAGAGACAGAGAGAGACAGAGACACACACAGAGAGAGAGAGAGAGAGAGAGAGATAGGGGTAGGGGTGGGGCAGCAACGTCACGTCCCCTTGGTTTGTATACACTTTTCTCCCTTCTTGCCCCGTTGGTGACACAACGCCCTTTCGGCGTCGTGAAATTTCCCTAAATGTGCGAGCGAATGCGTGTTTGGTGTGCGGTCATTTGTGTATGGTCGGTTGCTCCACTACCACGAGGCTGCCAACACAGAAACGGGTAGCCTTAGAAAGTCGTCACCGATAAGTGGCTCTCCTTGCACGAGTCGGTCAGGTGTCATACCCTCTTGCTTGTGGACCAATGGACCAATCAATCATCAAAAACATCAATCGATCGCACACCTGTGTGGTCGCTCGCACTCTTCCGGTAGTGTTCTAAAACTCGATCGTCACGTGTGTGCCTCTTCCCGCATATTTACGGTATCTGATTTGTCGACTTGTCCATTTCGCAGCAGAGATACATATTCTAACAAATTCGTATTTTCTCTCGCGAGAGTGGCGCCGTGATATGAAACGACCGATGTACAATTCTAGCTTCTTGTCGCGTTCGCGTATCCCCCCCCCCCCTCGGCCATGCTCTGCAGGTACGGGCTGGCCCCGCCGCTGACCAGGTATCTGGAGATGGGCGGCGGCGCAGAGGGCACCACAGGCCGCGATGCCGAGAGGTGCGTGCTAATGTGCGGGGCATGTTCGCGACGTGCCTCCGTGGAATCTATCCACCCCTTGCGGTTCCTGGATCCACACGTCGAAAACCGTTTTTGTTGGGTGGCATGTAACATACCGTACGTATACCAAGAGATATGTTCTGTGCCCGTGAGAGTGAAATAACAGTATTGCTTTTTCCGCCTTGTATTGGGAGCGTTGGTGGTCCCCCCCGTGTGGGAGTAGTTGTGGAGTAGTTGTGTTCTTGTTTGTGTAGGTGATTTTTCTTGTTTCCATACCCATGCTCCGGTCTGATGGCCATGGCACCCCCAACCCACGTAAACGTCAAACTTCCCCCGGCATGCCCCATGCCTGTGTACAAGGAATACCCCCCGTAATATATCCCCGAGCCTGTCTGTGTACCTCGCATCAAGCTTCCGCGGTATGCCTGTGCGGTGGATAAGATAACAGACGGGTGGTGATGAGTCAAGCAAACTAACGCCTCGCCCAACCCCAACTCCCTAGTTGTGGTCCGCTTTCTTCCAACCAAATGACCCCAAGCAATTCGCCTCCTCCTTTAGGTACAACGCTTTCACGAGAGGGCTCGTGGACCAGATGTGCGCGGTCACCATGGACCGCGCGGGCATGGGCTCGACCGATCACTCTAGCGGCGGCGGGGGCGGGTCGTCCAAGGTTGGCAGAATCTGGCAACGCGGGGCGAAAATGGTTGGAGGCGTAGGTCGGCGTGCGGGAGGGGGCGGGGTCGTGCTGGACGGGGTGGGGAGGGAGGCGATACTGCGGCTGCACAAGGACGTGTCCCGGCTGCAGTCCAACGCGTGGCAGGTGAGGGAGAGGGAGAAGATGGATTGATTCCCGCCATTCCCCGGGCCGTCCATCCGCACGTGTGCGGCAACACAACAGCATGGACCTTCCGCAGCACCAGCATGCCAACAAGAAGCGCACCGCTAATTTTTCCGCTGACAACGCTCTCAATTACCCCCTTCTCTCTCTCTCTCTCTCTCTCCCTCTCGATTTCTCTCTCCCTCCTCCTGCCTGGACCTCTCTCTCTCTCCCTCCCCCTCCCCCCATGTTTGACACTTGGTCCACGGGGGGTGGTATCTCATACCGCCTACTGCGGTACTTGCTCAGTTTCCCGGCCGCTTT